ATAAATTTGTTGACGACGTATGTGTTAAAAGTATCCAACCAATATTTTGAAATAATTTATATTTTAGAACTACTTTGTTTAGCTCCTTCATGAAAATTATTTATTTAATAATTTGCGTAATATTAATTTTTCACATAATGATTGACTTGAGATCTATCAAATATCTAAAATTTAATTCTTCTGTCTTAAAAGTGTATAATCAGTTGACAGAAAATGAATATCAAACGAGATAGGAGTGTTGCTGCTTCGATATTCTCGTAATCATTCTTGTGTTTCCTTTACCATTTATTGTAATATGAATGTAATTTTTATAAGATTATGACATATTATTAAGCTAGGTGAAAACATTTGAATGAGACTATGTGTGTTGATGTATATTACGGTGATTAGAAACTCTTCTAATCGCTTGATGTACAAATTATGGATCTATCCAAACCTTTTAATTACAAGCTAGAGTGTTAGGATGGGTTTAGGGCAACGATGTGGTAGCGGTCTGATGTCGCGCTGTATTTCATGTGTTGGGTAAATCTGTGTTTTGTCTGTTTTTTCAAAAAAACTATAGCTGAAAACAACGTTTTGCAATCAGATCTGGCTATGTTTGATGGCTGCTAAAAAGTTTCACTCTAATTTTTTGAAAAAAAAAATTATAAGAATCGCCATAATTTTTTGAAAAGAACTTTTTTTGCAGCAACTTCACAACAACTTTAAAGAATTGCAACTGCCCCAAACAGACCCTTAATATAGGTTGACATGGTCACAATTTTTCTAATCTTATTTGGATCAACTCTTAGAATTGTAGTTATGTAATTTTGAATTCAAAAGTGTTGGGGGAATCACGCCCAAGGCATAGAGCATATAAAGAGAGAGGAGTAAGAAGGGAAGAGGAAGTGAACATTAAAAATGAGACATCTAGAGCCATTTTCATGAAATGATGTCCTATTTATATGTATAGGAGATATCCAGAGTACATAATTACATCTAAGGCCTTCTTGTATATAAAGAAGCTTAGGGGGTATTGAGGTCATTTGTGCAATATATAAATATATTAAAAATGAATTTACTGGTCGGTCGTGATGCCTTTTGGTCTTCGGTTCATGTTCAATCATTCAGTGATGACGGATTGAATCACATAAGAATGATATGAAGACCTCTAGATTAAGCTTATCCATGGTTTTGTTTTAATCTTCGGCTCACTTTTGTCATTCGTTTGGCAGTGAGTTGTCTTTCGTTCGACCTGGTGTAGAGTTGCTATTCCTGCGGCCTGGTGTAGAGTTGTTCATCTTTTGGCCCGCTTTGTTAGTTGGCTTGCCTGCTAAAGGGACCAACTTATGAGATCTTAGAGATGTTTTCTCTTGACTTAACATCAAATTTTACTCCAATAAAGTAAATTAGTGTTTGACTGGATCTCTGTATACTTTGACTGTAGGTCCCCCTTATTTGTCACATATCTACATTTTTTTTCAGAAAATTTGTGCTATCATGATCCTGTCATACACGTAATAATATCATCTTTGAGAATAATTCATGCTAGGGCCTAGGGGTATAAGCAAATAAGAAGTTAAAACTTCTAAGTTCATTAGTGTTGATCGAGAACCCTTATGCCACATTCATTAAGAGTGTTAGTTTTTTCCTTGATGTGCGAGTCCATAGACAAATCACAATCCAACAATAAAAATTTTATCCAAGATTTATAACAAAATGATCATTTAGAGAAGAAAAGTTTATGGTTAATCTCATCATTTTCACATTTTTTATTTTTTTTGTTGTCGTGTTTGCTTCTTCCTCTTTTTTTTTTCTTTTCATTATTTCGCTACTTCAACACGAGTTGATGCTTCTTCAATCTTCATTTAAAATCTTAAATGATTTTTTTTTTTCTGGGAAAAAAAGCATGTGTATGGTACTAGATTGATTAAAACTCTAAATAAAAATTTACTAAGATTGATTCAAAAAATCCCAATACAATCATTTGTTAATATATATCCCTTATACTATTATGATATAGAAGTTGATATGAACTTAGATTTTAGGATTTATAAAGAAATCCAACGTACCACTAAGATAAATAAAAGGTTTATAAGCTACTAGGCTGTTTGAAAGCTTAATAAGCATTAATTTCATAGAAAAAATCAAGGTATACTACTTGCATTTAAGAAAGTCCTTGAGAAGTTATTTAAGTTATACGATGTGTGAAAAATCGTAGTACACTATTAGGGTTTATGCACATCTTATTAATAGGAAAAAAATTGGGTTTGGGATAGAGGTTTGCACCCCATTTAAATTTAGCTTTAACATAATGTCTAAACATTTAGTTCATAATAGAAGTTAAGAAGTTGGCTAGAATTGATGTGCTTCTAAATGTCCACGATGGTAGAGTAATGAATTATTGTCTTAATGTTGCACGGAAGCCCAACACACGCTCAGGTAATTAAAGTGAAGTAGGAGGAGGCACACTAATTTTTATGTGGAAAATCTTAGAATGGAAAAATCTGAGGTCTGCCCCAGTTCAAATATTCAACTATGGATGGTGACTATATAAGTCCACTCTTCTCCAGAATCTGCGTCATTGAAAGTGATAAAATGATGAGTACCGCACTTGGGAGTGAAATCACTCGTGCACAGTTACCCTAACTGGAGCCTCTTCTGACTAGCTCACCGAGATGATTCTTCACTTCGAAAGATTGCTGGTACTATCCAAGCGATGTTGATGACGTTCGCTTGAATTGGTTTCTTTGACATCTTTTCTATTGGAGCCTTCCCTTGCCTCTGAGTTGATGCTCCTAATGCTACAAATTCTTTGAGCTTTCTAGCCCTGATTAGCTACTTGAGTAGGCTCCGGAGGTGTCTGCACTCCTTTGTATCGTGGTTATGGTCCCTATGGTAGGCGTAATACTTCTTCGTGTCCCATAAAGTAGCTCCGACTAGAATCTGTGGTGCCTTCTTGAAGTACTCTTTATTTTGGATGACCTCCACTAACTCTGTATCGGGACTCTCAACGGAGTGGCCTTTGGCGTTTTGTAGTAACAAGCTAGCCGTTAGTCAGTGTATCCCGCCTCAACTCCTTTGTTGTTATTCGTATCACCCCCCTTAGTCCCAAGGTGGCTAGTTGTCTTTGTATCATGGTCAAGCGGATGTGTCTTCCCTCAATCTGCATTTGTCGTCTCTTGAAGCACTCTTTATCAGATGGTGGGTGGTTACTTCAGTCATAAAGGACTTGAGGGTAGAGTTGTACTCCTCCGCCTAAATTTGATTGTTGGTCAGCTCCAACAATTACACCAAAGTCTTCGGTTGCTGAAGAATCAGAATGTAGTGGAATGGTCTCTCCTTCAAACCTCGAGCTAGGGCAGCATGTGCTACAGTGGGTTTTATATCTTACACTTCCAGTATCTCCTCTGAAATTGGGTGAAAAATGAGCGGAGGCTTTTTTTATTCCTCTGTCTGATCTATAGCTAAACTCTTTTGAGACTTTTGAGCGCTGGCAAATTGCGCCACAAACATCATCTTGAAATCGGTGAATGAGGTGATGACTCCGACCAATAGTCCATTGAACCACCTGAGGGTCAATTCCCTGAACATGGTGAAAATGATCTGATACTTCAGAGCGACAGTGATCCTCGACAAGCATACGATGGACTCGAGGAAGGCATTATGGTTGGTTAGATCAGTCGAACCCTTGTAGGATTTACGTGAAGGTTTCATGAACTTCTTGGAGGTTCAACAACTGAAATTTGTCGAGAAAACACATTCTCCGGCTGGTGGGGAGGGGCTCAGTGTGTTTGAGCTATTGAATGTCGATCGGCACTAACCCAATACAGGCACGGTGCTATGAACCTTTTGCTCTTTCTTCGGGCAAGCGTGCCCTCCAGATAGTTGTGCGTCAGTCTTTGTTCCTAGGGTTCTGCTCTCGGGGGATCTTTTCCATTCCTCGAGCTACAGCTTCTCGAGATGGAACTTGCAATGGTAATGGCACGGCAGAATTGATACACATAAAAAACTGCCAAACTAAAAAGCTGAAAAAAAAGTATAAATAAATGCGGAAGGGAGAAGTTCTTAAATAGGTGGATTCAAAGATGCGGATTCAATTTAGGGTGATTTACATAAATGCTACTTAATCCTATGTATTTACTTGCATATCTAATACCTAAAATTCAATTTTTTTACGTCTATACCACTTAACATATGCATGAAATAATACATTTTTTATCGGATATGAGAGATTGGAATGACATAAATATAGAGTTGAGGATTCATCGGTTCGCTTGGATTGTTTTGTAAATTAATCGAATCAATTGCAACTAAAATCCAAAATCCGAGAAAACCAAACCAGCCAAAATTTTCCATAAAAGTTGAAACTCACCGAACCAAAGTTCATATTAAAAATTAATTATTTGTTATAATTTAATTATGTGCAAGCATTAAAAATTACATATTTTAAGTATATAATATCAATTAAGTTTTATTACTCATCTGTTTATTTTAATCAAATATTACTTATATATTAATTAATAAATTTTAATTTTTTCATGAAATTAAAATACAAAAAGATTTACACATTATCACTTAATTCTTATTCTTATGTATTCACATATTTACATTTATACCACCCAAATCATTTTTTTTTTCTTTTTTTTTTTTTGTTTAAGCAGCAAGCATTTCACAAAGCAGTGAAATCTCCCAAAAACACGAAAAGAAAGTCATTCATTGCAAAACTGAATTAGCTTCAATCCATCTTTCCATCAAATCCTATTAAAAAAGAAATTAGTGCATATCAATCATTTTATGAATGGCAGCAATAAGAAATCTACGGCCAACTTTTAAGCAAAACCTATAAACATTATTCATAGGTATATGAAGACAAACAATGATCAAAAGTATATGAACCCATAATTATAGGTATTTGCACCCATAATTATAGCATCTTCGCTCAGTCCGATTCCCCGTGGCCATGACCATAACGATCATTGATGTGTAAGCCTTCAAAATTCTCATCCAAGCTTGAACCATCACTGGTCGCTCCACCGAGACTTTGGTCTAAAACACCTCAGAGAACACGGAAGCGAGATTCTAACCCTCCTTCGCATCCTCCTGCGTCTCGAACTGCTTTCTTGTTCCCTGGCCGCCGAAGCCAGCCACGTTCCTCCACTTCGCCCCCCACTAGCATCCACCTCTTCTTCTCTCGAACTGGCTCTGCTTTCTTCTTTGCTGCCCGCCGAAGCCAGCCACGTTCCTCCACTTCGCCCCCAACTCCAACTTCTTTCTTCTTCTCTGGCCGCCGAAGCCAGCCACGTTCCTCCACTTCGCCCCCAACTTGCATCCAACATCCTGCGTCTCCGACTGCTTTCTTCATCACTGGCCTCCGAAGCCAGCCACGTTCCTCCACTTCGGCCCCCACTAGCATCCGCCGCTCTCACATCTCGTGACACGTAGTCAGGATCGTCGGTGGGGAGCTCGTACCTGCACACCGGGCAAGAATTATGCAGCTCGAGCCATGGAATGATACAGTTCTCGTGGTAAAAGTGCTTGCAAGGCATCCGCATTGCCTCGTCCCCTACCTCAAACTCATCCATGCAAACAGCACAATAAACTTCTTCGATGCATACCATCTTTGGGGACATTTTTATAATCGGTAGAGCCTCCACCGCCGATCTCGCAGCCGGTGGAGGGCCGTGCCGGCTTGGATCGTAAAAATTTGTTGTACGACATTCTCGAAGCCTGAGCCCAATACGTAATCGCCGATGTTGCTGGCGGATGTATCGCTGCCTCCTTCATCGTCGCCATTGAAGGTGACTTGGATGCTTGTGCCACGGGACAAAAGCGATTCGATGTAGTCCTGAAGGAAGAGTTGCGGATCGAAGTTCTGATTGTCGGGTGACTGTGAGCGGGAAGGAGTGGAGTCGAGGCCGACGAGATCGGCAAAGTCTCCGGAGCTTCGGATTTCGATGCTGTTGCGGTGGGAGTTGAGTTCTGGAATATCGACCTCCTCGATGAAGCTACTGTCGCAGATGGGGCAGACGAGGTCGTCCATAGACACCATAGATACTGTTCTCTCACAGGGGTGGCAATAATAATAATGTGGTATGTTGGGATCGGCAGCGGAAGTCATTTTCCCGGCAGCCGGAGGGATGATGTTGCGGGTACGTAGCTATCAGATAATATGAAATGTAAAGTAGACGGCTGTTATTGCAACTATAAAAAAAATCACATATAATGCGACCAAATGTATGTATTTATACTCTGACATCCAACGTTTAGTTTTTATATTTATATTACATATTTAATATATATATATATATATATATATATAATATATAATGTGTATTTGATTATGTAAATTTTTATTCATGCACTTCCCGTCCATAATAACTTATGGAAAGAATTTAACGCAAGAAAATTAATTTTTCCAACATATTATGATAACATATTATGACAATTTTATTTTTAGTTTATTAATCAATATTAATCTCAACTATGATTTTGTAATTTTTATTTTGGAAGCAGCTATTAAAGTAATGATTTTAATTACTACTATTTTGAAAGAGTTTATTAAAAAAGAATTTTATAGATTTTAAAATGACTAGATTCACTACTATAATAATTACAGTTAGAAAATAGTAGTTATATTCGGTATTTCATTAATAACATTCTAACTACTATAGTAAATTAGTAATAGATTTATTGTCTAGATTATGAATATTAGTTAGAAGATTAAGCTAATATATTCTTAATTGTAGAATCTTAGATTAAAGTTTGCCTTAATTTTTTTTTCATTATGTAACATTTTTTTTTCTTTTGAAGGTTTTATATATATAAGACTTACCTTATTGTAGATTATATTTGTACTATTTAGAAATAGATGCAGATATCAATGTGGATTATTTTATTTTTATTTTTAATCAATTTTCTATTAATAGTAATTCATGATTGTATTTTTAATACATTGTTTGTTATTTTGATGAAGTGAATTGAATCATGACTAATTACATTCTCATAAATATAATTTATTTTTTCTCTTTTTTTACGTCAGGTGATTTTGGTAGAATAGTAGATCCTTAATCAGATGTGCATCATATCATAAAATATAACTTTGTATGTGGTTCAAATATGTATTACTAATAACTATAATGATGAGGGAAAGAGTGGAGGTTTCTGATGGAGCCCCCCCCCCCCCCCCCCCCAAAAGTTTCTATTTTTAGGCTTTTCTCTAGATCAAATGAATATATGCTCTTACTAAATATGGTATACAAGTAAATATTAGTGGGAGCCGAAAAATTAAATTTAATTAATAATAGATTCAGGGATGAACCATGAATTTCATATGAATGATTTTAAGGTCATCTTACTCGAAGGTATACTTTAAAATCCAAGTAGAATGTAGACCTTTAAACTCCTCATCCAAGCTTGAATTATTTTAACTATCGTTCGTACCTTCGCCATTATTGCTCCTCTGGAACTGCGATCCAAAACCTCTCAAAGACCACAGAAGCGAGATTCTAACCGTCCTTTGTATCGCCCTGCGTCCTGAACTTCTTTCTTCTTCCCCGGCCGCTAAAGCCAGACTCGTTCCTCCCCCCCCCCCCCCCTCTAGCATCTTCGCCAAACTCGTTCCTCCACGTAATCAAGGTCATCGGCGGGGAGCTCATACCTGCACACCGGGCAAGAATTATGCAATTCTAGATATGGAACCCTGTCGTTCTCGTTGTAAACATGCTTGCAAAACATCTGCATCGCCTCGTTCCCTACCTGAAACGCATCCATGCAGACAGTTCAATGTGCTTTATCGTCGACCGAGACCATCTCGGCGAAGACTCCTCTAATTGGTAGAACCTCTAGCACTGACGGAAGGTCGTACCGGTTTGGATCGTTCTCCATGTTTCCGGCGAACGTGTCGCCGTCTCCTTCATCTCCATTGAAAGCCACTTGGATGCTTGAGCCGCCGGAGAAAATCCACTCGGTGTAATCCTGAACGAAGTGTTGCGGATCGAAGCCTGGATTGTCTGGTGACTGCATGAGAGAAGGAATGGAGTCTAGGCCCGGGAGATCGGTAAAGTCTAGGCCCAGGAATAATGGAATACTGCACATTTGTATATAAATATGTACCCACAGCATCCTGGGCTTTGTTCTCAACGGTGGCAACCCAAGCAGTTTCAAAATTCAAAACTCTGTAAACTTTGCCGATCTTCTGGGCCTTGCCTCCATTCCTTCCCTCATGCAGTCACCCGACAATCTGGGCTTCGATCCGTAGCTCTTCGTTTAGGATTACATCTAGTGGATTTTCTTCGGCAGCGCAAACGTCCAAGCCACCTTCAATTACGACTAAGGAGGCGGCGATACATTCGCCAGAAACATTGAGAACGATCCAATCCGGCAATGAGGTTGGCTAGATGCTCTACCGATTATAGAAGCCTAAACGTAGATGGTCTCAGGTGACGAGAAAGCAAATTACGCTGTTTGCATTGATGCGGGGGTGGGGAGGGGGGCAATGCAGATGCCTTGCAAGCATGTCACTCACCAGAATTGTATCGTTCCGTGGCTTGAGTGCTTAATTCTTGCCTTGTGTTCAGGTATGAGCTTCCCACCTACGCCTATCCTGATTACGTGCTGTGAGTTATGAGAGCAAAGGACGTTAGTTGGGGTCGACGAGGAGGAACAAGTTTGGCACGAGCTCCACAAATACAAGGTTGTACTAATTTGGTCATTTGTTGTGGCATCTTCACTTTGATGGAAATGTGAAACTGCAAAACTAGAAAGCGGAGATAACTCCTTTATCTTTACTCTCTCAAGTCTTTCAAAAAAAATTTCATATCAAGAAGTTTTTCGTGCTCGGCCACACAAAAATGAAGATGGGTGTCTTGTTGCCCCCTGCAACAAGACATTGATACAACCTTTCTATCTTGCAAATATAGAACCCATGAGAGTTTAATCTTGGTGAGGTTTTTGACTTTTGTTGAATGGCTTGGGTGGCACCATCATCTTGAGCATATGCATGTTATCTTGTTTTGTTGCATTTGCATAATTTTAAAATTTGCATGAAAATTGAATTTTGCATGTCTTTTATCTGGCGA